TGTTTGTTGTAAGTGATCTATTGTTTTATGTGTTTCATTCCATTTATTTGTGATTTTAGCTTTTCATTTGTTTCTAGTGTATGAGTAACAGGAGGTTGGTTTGGTATCAGGAAGTATAATATATTTATGATGTTTATTGACTGTTCAGGGCTGAGAAGGATGGTTGGACTTTTTCCGTTTATATAACCTATGACGCCTGTTGGTTGTGAATGTCCCCAATGCCTCTTCTTCTACCTCAGTCGCGAGCTCCAGGTGAATACTTTTGTCCAGCAGGACCGTGATCGGATCAGCAAGGCCTTCATGGCCACCCCAGGAAGAATGTCCAAATGAGTATATACAGAAAGGTGGCTGGATATCCTTTCTCCAGGTGATTACATGGCGAGTTCACAGCGATATCTTTTAAAATTGAAAAAGGAATAATTCGTGAGGATTCTAGAATACTGGCTTCAGGATGCGCCGGAAATACAGACACCGAGTATGACGCTTGACAACGAATAAGTCCTGCTTCGTGCGGGGGCGCGGTGGGCTACCGCTGTAATCCAGACTTGGCGAGGCCGAGGGCGCGGTCACGGAAGGTCAGGAGATCGCGACCATCCGTAGCCTAGACCGGTGAAGGCCGCGTCTTACTTAAAATGCAAAACAAGGTGCAGCGGGGAGCGGGCGGGCGCCTGTAGTCCACGCTACTGGGGAGGCGAGGAGGACAGTGGCATGAACCGGGAGGCGGAGCTGCAGTGGCCGAGATCGGGCCGACTGCAACTCCAGGCCTGGGGGAGTAGAGCGAGCTCTGCTGCAACAAAAAATAAAAAAAAATAAGTCGGGCTCCAGTAAAGAAAAGAAGAGAAAGTTTTAATATTGAAGGGTCTTGAGGGGAAAATGGACAAGAGTATTGTGAGTTCATGATAAAGTCAAATGCTTTGCTGTGAATTGCAAAGCTGCTTGAAATGAGAGCAGAATGATTTGCAAACGCTGCATGACAGCTATCTAAAAAGAGGTGGTAGGACTAGAATCATGGTCAGCGACGCAGGGGCAACAATTTAAAGCCAGTAAAAACTGAAGACAATCAGTTCCAATAGATTGGAATTTAAAGAGACATTCTAGAATATTCATGGTTAAAGAAGAACTCATTATAAGTTTTTTTAATGTGGCCATAATGATAAGTGAAATGCGGTTATGTGTAAAAATTGACTTTGAGAGGGAAATGTTAAGCCTTAATGTTCTGCTAGAATAAAAGAAGAAAAGCACCCAACTTCGTAATTAAATAAGCAGAGGAACTCCGTCCCCGAAAATTATCAGGATACTACATATTGTAATATTAAGAATACAAAGCTTTTAAGAATTTTGGGTCCTTTGTGTTCTTGGTTTTGATTATAATATTTCTAAGTAATTTAATTCTTGCTATTGATGACTGCCATGACAATATGATGAATTCACATTTATCCGGAATCTCTACATGCTTCACATCGCTTTTGCCCAAAAGTAGTTGAGTCGCGTGTAAGGTTGGCAATATTCCCCTGTTATCGCCGCTGGAAACAAATTCTATAACTATAATCGTTTTAATTCAAAATACTTCCTGAGGCAAAAGAGCTTTTCCCTGTCTCTTGAACCGCACACACATCAGATTTCCTTCTAGATAAAAGGGTTTCAATTGCAAAGCTGAACAGCATTTTTAAGATTCTATTTCTTTGGCCACTGTATGATGTGGGATTATCGTGTAAATGGGCAATCTGGAGAGGAGGTAAATTCAATAGATGAGTCAAGATAAGTGGAAAAAAAAACGACTGCCTGCATAAGTGAAAGGTGCTCTTCCGGGCTCTGGAGCAAGCAAGTCTTGTCACAGAGAGTCGCAGGCTGACCGCCCAGACGGAAGCCCGTAGGCTGGACGCAGGTTTTTATTAGGTTAAGGACTGCCAGTCCATCACTCAAATGTTCAACCCCCCACCCTTCTTTCGTGTTTCTGGAATCGACGACGTGTGTGAGTGGGAGATAGGAAGGGGATAAGATCTGTTTTTAGAAGGCAACTCTTAAAGTTACAGCTTGCAGATGAACTCTGGAGGCCTTGTATAGCCTCTCTTAAGTTATCTCTACGCTTGCATGTGGGGGAAGGCACGTTAAAGTATAAAGGAAGTCCAGCCGTATTTGCAGGGTGATAGGTTAGTAACTGAACGAGGATTTGCCAGTGTATTCCGCTTCGTAAGACTGCGAGGTCCTTGGCGGAAAGGGGCACAGGGGCCATGCGCCGTTTTAAAGGCGCCGAGGAGCTGGCGTGCGGGCGGCCCTGGGAACGCCAGGAGGAAACGGCTGTAACCGAGAACAGCGGGAAGCTGAAGCCTGGAAAGGGGTCAAGTTGGACAAGTGTCTTGTAGCAAAATATGGTAGACAGATTCTGCGTGAGCTCCTGAAAAGAGTCTGCTCTGCTAGGGTGCGGTCTTGGGGCAAACCGGACTGCGCCCCTCTGCCTCACTTGGCTTGACACCCTAACCAGAATAGCCAAGTCCTATTTATTTTTCTCCGGTTGTTTTTTATCCATCGTCGCGGGACTATCATTCTTGTTAGACTTCTGGTAAGTAACAGCTTTCCGAAAACTGTGGAATGTGTCGGGCATGATAACAATAGTTTAGGATGGATGTATAATAAAGCACCTGGGGTTCACGCGGAGGCGGTCAGAGGATCTTGAGAATTCTGTATCATAAGAGATGTGGCTGAGTTGCATGGTGTGTAAGTGTCTGGGGCAGTCGGAGAAAGGGTTGGGGTGCATGCCCGTCCCAGTGCAGAAGACCAGACTGGCCCACCGGTCTCAGCCACTATGCTGTTTATCTCTCTGGAGGCAGTTGCGACTTTGGAGGGAGAAAGGGCGCAACCTTTCTTGGGGAGTGTTATCTCGTCGTTTGAGTGAGACATGTACCATTCGATTCAGTGCCGGACGAGCGATGCGTTGAGGGTTCTCAGGAGTCCCAAGCATGGCACGCGACTTTGTATGGGGGTCGGCCTGCGTGGTGAATGGTAGTAAGAAGCATGTGTTAGGTGTGTTGTTGATATATGGTGTCTGGGAGTGGGTGGCCAGGGTGTTTGTTCGGTGTGGGTATGTGTTTCTTTTTTACTTTGTTTTTGTGTGGTGAATGTGCTAGGGAGTTGGGTCGCCGTTGTGTTTACTTTTGTGATTGTCTTGCTTTTCCGGTTGCTCTGGTGTTTGGTTTAGTGTTGTGTGGTTCCGGTTTGGCGCGAGTTTGGTGTTGTAGGTGTGTGCTTCGCCGAGGGTATTGGGTCTGGTCTGTTGATTCTAACTTATGCAATGATGGATTCGTGTTTTTGTTGTGCTTGGTGTGCAGGTGGTTTGTGTTGCGGTTAGTGGTGTTTTTGGTTGTTTCTGAATTTTCACTTGTTATTAATGTTTAGTGGGGGGTGGGGTGGTTGATTGCGTGTGGGAGTGGTGTTGTTATATTTACCTGCTTGCAGCATTTTTGTGGCTGCGTTTTTGTGTGTGTTGGTGGGGTTGTTATTATTGCGGGTTTGTTTTTTTTGATTTACGTTGTTTTTGGATTTTTCTGTTTTGGTTACATTTAGTATTCTTTTGTGTATGTTTTATTGTTGTTGCTTTGGTTGTTTTTGTGTTAGGTTGGCCTGTGTGAGATGGCCGGTCTGCATGTCATGAGCTTACAGGTAAGAATAGAGACGGGTGTGTGTTGTGTATGGTCGCAGAAGCTGTCTCCAGGAAAGTTCCAGAGGCCAAAGGAACCTTTAGCCTCAGTCAGAATGCATGTTTTTTTCCACCATACTCCATTTATGTCACTACTTCCCAGTGCCTGTGGTCGCCAGGCCCTATAGATTTCTATAGAGTCTTCAATGGATTCTAAATGTTAGCTCTAATATGTCAGTAATCAAAAGTTTGTTGCATTTCCTTAATAAAAGAATTATAGTCTTGAAAAACTGTTAGCAAAATGAAATTTTGGGAACTACCTCTTTATTGTTCTATTATTCTTAATCATTCCCAGTGAACAGCATTTGGCCACATGCACAGTATACTTCTCCATGCTCATCATTGTCCTGACCCTAACTTAGAGACGTGTCCCAGCTAGATGTGGCTTCCGTTAATGTGCCTCTCACTGTTCTGGAGGCCAGAAGTCCAAGATCAAGGCATTGGCAGGACTGGTTACCCCTGGGGTCTTTTGGAGCATTTGTTCCAGGCTCCTCCTCTATCTTTGTGGTTTGCTGGCAGTTGTAGTCCCAGGGCTTGTTGATGCATGGCCCCTTCGTGGTCACGTGGCGTTCTCCCTGTGCATGTCTGAGGCTTCATGGTGTTCTTTTTTTTTTTTTCTTTTTTGAGATGGAGTCTCGCTCTGTCGCCCAGGCTGGAGTGCGGTGGCGCGATCTCAGCTCACTGCAACCTCCGCCTTCCGGAGGGTTCAAGTGACCCCTGCCTCAGCCTCCCAAGTAGCTGGGACTACAGGCGTGCGCCACCACACCCAGCTAAGTTTTTGTATTTTTAGTAGAGACGGGGTTTCACCATGTTAGCCAGGATGGTCTCAATCTCCTGTCCTCATGATCTGCCTGCCTCAGCCTCCCAAAGTGCTGAGATTACAGGTGTGAGCCACTGTACCCAGTCCCATGTGTTCTTTTTCATAAGAACACACGAGCATTCCCTTTTATAAGGATACAGGTCATATTGGATTAGCAGCTCACTGTACTCCCTATGACCTCATCTTGAAAAAGTACCTCTCCAATGACTCTATCTCCAAATAAGCTCAAATTCTGAGGTATTGGAGGTTAGGGCTTCAACACTGGAATTTTGAGAGGACACAACTCAACCGATCCATAATAGTGCCCAACACTTCAGATATGCCTTCTAAGTCCTCACAACAAACCAGGAAAGGCGGTGTATACAGATTCCCACTGTACAGATGGGGGAGCTAGAGCGCACTGCCTTGCCTCCTTAGGTGAGCCAGGATTGGATTCCATATGTGAAGCCCACATTCCTGCCCTTACACCACATTCCGCCTCTGAATTCCAAGCGTCTTTGGAACCCGGCTGCTGCATGGGCTTGTGTCAGGCACTTGGCCCTTGTCGGCCTCACTTGCTTCCTGCTTGCACTGCAGACTCGGCATCTGCTGTACCTTCTTTCCCTACTTCCCAGTGCCTGTGGTCGCCAGGCCCTATAGATTTCTATAGAGTCTTCTAAGCACCCAGTCGTCCACTGACGTCTCTTCAGACCTCTGCTCCCACTTGTCTCTAATCCACGGTCATCTCCGTCTGAGTTGCTTGTCTCTTCACTGTTTATTGCCAAATGATCCTCTTTAGACCCCACCAGACCAAGGCTCTTTCCTACTCTTCTGCTAAACCTTGTGCCTCAAGAGGGCAGGGCCCATGCCTGTGTATTCCCAGACCCAAGGACTTTGCCTTCTACGTGGCAGATGCTCCACAAATCTGTAGTGAATGAAGGAATGCAGCCCCTTCCTCCTTGGGCTTGGGTCTGTGGGGGGCCCATCTCACCCCCAGAACCTGGTACCTTCAAGGAAAGTTTCTTAGGCTGGAGGATGTCCTCCACATCCCACTTTCTCTTGCATAGTTTTCTTTCAGCAAATATGTGTCATGGACTTCTGCTGAAGTTTCTCTCTTCTCTAAGGACAAGAGTTAAGATTCCATCTCATGGCTTGGAACCTGGGAATACACTTCAAGGATAGTACCAGGCCCCCAGGGTTAAGAATGCAGCCACAAGCCATCACATGCAGCAGCTACTCTGTAGCTTCTTGACAGCAGGTTCATTAAGAACAAAAAATTCCTCATATTTATAATTTGTTTATAGCTTACAAAATGCTTTCATGAATACTGTTTTATCTTTGTGGTATTTATTATATTGCTTCAAAGGTTTATAATTACAGGCTTGTCTCTTTCCAGAGAACTCCCAGGCATTGTCTTAATAATTTCACCTCCTTACATTGGACCTTCACACAGCAGGGCATGCTGTTGTGAACACAGCAGATACGTCCTTTGTTTTGGACAAATTGATTTCCAGAGGACTTCTGTTCCACCCTTGATCTTACTGTTTCCCTTTCCTGGAATGCCCACATCTTCATCTCCATCTCATGAAATCAGTCATTCTTGTCCTTCATGTTCCCCCTCCAATATGTCTTTCTTGCAGAAGCTGTCTCCAGGAAAGTTCCAGAGGCCAAAGGAACCTTTAGCCTCAGTCAGAATGCATGTTTTTTTCCACCATACTCCATTTATGTCACCATTGTAACAATTTCCTCAGTCTATCATATCTTGTGGTTCTGTTTATCTGGATAAACGTCTGATCCCAGCACTTTGGGAGGCCGAGGCAGGCGGATCATGAGGTCAGGAGTTTGAGACCAGCCTGGGCAACATAGTGAAACTCTGGCTCAACTAAAAATACAAAAATTAGTGGGCGTGGTGGTGTGTGCCTATAATCCAGCTACTTGGGAGGCTGAGGCAGGAGAATTGCTTGAACCCGGTAGCCAGAGGTTGCAGTGAGCCAAGATCGCACCACTGCACTCCAGCCTGGGCAACAGAGCAAGACTCTGTCTCAAAAAAAAACCCCAAAAATACAACATCTGACTCCTCCCCTTGAAATCAAAACCCTTGACTTCCTTTTCTCTCACCACCTTGCACATCAATGGGCACTTAATAAAAGATTGTCATTATTGTGAATCAGTTGGTGTGAGATTTCCTATTAAACTGTCATGCTTCCTACATCGTGTCATCAAGAGCTAACTGTTCTTTTACAACTTACTCAGTGTTTTACCTAAATATCTGGGGGATATTTTTGAAATGCACAACTTGAATTCTCAAACTGCTAATTTTGAGAATTATGACAATGCTTTGTTGTCAGGGTTGGAAACTTTTCTCCTTTTCCCCTCCCAGATTCTTGTCATGTTGTCGTTAGCCAAGGTAATTAAGTGGTAGTATTTTTCAGGAGAGACCATCCTTTCTTTAAAGCCCTGTGTCAAAAAGAGAAAAACTGTTTGGATATGTGCTGTTTGTTTGCAAGCCATCTGCAATATAAAAAATAAGAAACAGATTGCAGAACCTGTTACTGTTGGTTATTTTCTATACATTAGGAAAAAATGAAATGTCAACGACTTCTTCTGAAATAATGTATTATTAAAAAGGAAATGTATCTATCTGCATGGTAACCCAGTTTTGTTTATTATTTCAACCATGGGTTCTTGTGTTTCTCAGCTCTTCTTCATGCATCTCCTCCCCAATTTTGCCGAGTGCTGGTGGGATCAAGTGATTCTGGACATCCTGTTGTGCAATGGCGGTGGTATTTGGCTGGGCATGGTCGTTTGCCGGTTTTTAGAGATGAGGACTTACCACTGGGCAAGCTTCAAGTGAGTTGCCTTCTTTTTGGATATTAGTCACAGGTTTTCATGACATATATTTAATTGTTTTGGTAGGAATCCATTTTAGTATGGTCTTTGATGATAAGGAATAAATTCCATGTTAATAACTGAAACTCATAAATGATTATAAACCTGATTTCAAGCATTTGTTCAGAAAATGCTCAAACATTTATGATTTTCTCTTTCTCACCCTATGTATTCAGGGGGTCCTAACACCATCCTCTTAATTCAAAAGATTTCTCAAATCTACCCCCTCTTTTATCCCAACTGCCTCAGCCATCATTCAGACTCCTATCCCTGGATCAATTCGTCTGTTTCCAGGTTAAGTCCTCCAGTCCTTCCCACAACATTGCTTGAGTGATCTTTTTGAAAACATCAGATTAATCATGTCATTCCCCTGTGATGGCTTCTCATGGTCTTTGGTTATGGTCAATACATCCATTGCCCCAGTAGGGAGATCCTTTCTCTATACCCTCCTAGGCACCCGAGGGTCTGTTTGTGCACATGCTCCCCTCTCTTCACCTGAGACTTGGCCTGTGTACCCATAGGCCAGCCTGATCATCCTCTTCTTTGCTGACTCAGCTCACTTGCCACCCAGGAAGTTCTCTGACTAGTTTTAAGTTGCATGCCCCACTGTGCTTCCAGTGGAAGACAGTCACACTGCCGGCATTGCTTTATCCTGCTTTGTTAAACTTGCTTCTCAGTTTGCAGCAGGAATCATGCCATTGATAAGGAAGAATAATGACAGTGATAATGAAAGCTGTGGTTGCTTCAATTGTGTTTAAAACTGTGTTTACTTTATATAACAAAATAGCATTTTCCCCCATCATTAAATATTCTTCTAAAACATGATTTTAAAGGGCTTCTTTGTACTTCAACATACAGATAAACCATGTAGTATTTAACCAGTTCCATTTTATGGGCCTTTAGTTGTTTCAAAGTTTGGCTTTTATAAAGAAGACTGGAGTGATCATTCTTGGACATACATCATAGTGTGCATCGTCTTGTTTTTTTTTGGTAAACAAATTCTTAGAGTGTACCAATTTATAATCTCACCTGTAATATATATGTGTATCCATTTCACTATTTTCTTGAACTGCATTTTTAAACCTTTGTCAAATTTATTGCACAAAAAATTGTGATACTGGATTTCTATCAATTTGTATTGGATTTACCCTCTTTTATTTGTACTTTACCATAAATGTGACTTTATTTTCCATTTTGTCATCCTGTTTGTTATTTGTTTGTGTTTTGAGAGAGGGAGTCTCGCTCTGGCGCCAGCAGGCTGGAGTCAGGGTGCAATCTCAGGTCACTGGGAAGCCTCCGCCTCCGGGTTCAAGCAATTATTCCTGCCTTCAGCTCCCAAGTTAGCTGGACTTCAGGCGCCTGCCACTTTGGCCTGGGCTAATTGTTTTGTTTTAGTAGAGAGATGGGGGTTTTACCATGTATGGGCCAGGCTCGGGCTCAGAAACTCTGGGCTCAGGTATCCACTCGCCTCGGCAGTTTCTCAGAGTGTTGTGGAATTATAGCGTGAGCCACCATTGCCCCGAGGACCTGTCATCCCCTTTATAACGTAGTTGTTTGTGGTGATTTTTATTTAAGACCATCAAAAATACTGTTAACTTTTTGTTTAGGTAAATTTTATAATAGTATTTCTTGTAGTTTCTAGTTTTGTTTGTTTTTGAGACAGAGTTTCACCTCTTGTTGCCCAGGGTTGGAGTGCAATGGGCACGATCTCGGGCTTCACGGCACCCCTCTGCCGTTCCAGGGTTGCAAGCGAATTCTCCTACCTTAGCCCTCCCGGAGTAGCTGGGATTAGCCACCACGCGGCCCAGTCTAATTTTTTTTTTTTTTTTTTTTGTATTGTTTTAGTAGAGCTGGGGTTTCTCTTGTGGTGTTCAGGTGTCTCGACTTTCTGACCTTAGGTGATCCACGCCGCCTCAGCCTCCCAAAGTGCTGGTGGGCATTACAGGCGTGGCCATCTGCGCGCGGCCTTTTTCTGAGTTCCGTTTAATGGTTTTCTTGTTTAAGTGTTAATGGTCTTAAATTTATTGGGGGTGATATGATGCGAGGAGGGAGGATTTCAACCCAATTTGTTGCATTGGGTTAACCCAGTTTTCGCCCATGCCCTTTTATTATGTAAACCTTTCTTGGTCACGACTGCAAGGACACTGTTGGTTGATATATTTAATTGCTAAATTCTAATTTTGATATTTATTGTTTGAGACAAGAGTCTTGCTCTGTTGCCCAGGTTGGGGTGCAATGGTGCAATCTCGACTCACTGCAACCTCCACTTCCCGGGTTTAAGCAGTTATCCTGCGTCAGCCTCCCCAGTGCCTGTAATTCACAGCTAGCATTACAGGCATGCACCACCACACCCAGCTAATTTTTGTATTGTTAGTAGAGACAGGGTTTCTCCATGTTGGCCTGGCTAGTCTCGACCCCAGCCTCCTAAAGTGCTGGGATTACAGGCATGAGCCATCATGCCCAGTCACTTTTTAATATATTTAAGGCAGCATTTAACCTAACAAAAATAGTAGCCATGCTTCAAGTATTGCTCCAAGCAAGCTTCACAAGCAGTATCTCATTTGAGCCTTGCATCAGTCCTGGGGGTAGACACTGTTATTCTCTTCATTTTAGGAATAATGTGATACTGAGGCTTAGGTTTAGTAATTTGCCTAAGGACACATAGCTAGCAAGCAGCTGAGTCTGAATTTGCACCAGAATGTCTGCTTTCCTTTTTGTTGTTGTTGTTGTTGTTATTTTTGAGACAGAGTCTGTCGCACAGGCTGGAATGCAGTGGCGCAATCTCAGCTCACTGCAACCTCCGTCTCCCAGGTTCAAGCGATTCTCCTGCCTCAGCCTCCTGAATAGCTGGGACTACAGGCACCTGCCATCACACCTGGCTAATTTTTGTATTTTTAGTAGAGACAGGGTTTCACCATGTTGGCCAGGCTGGTCTCAAACTCCTGACCTCAAGTGATCTGCCTGCCTTGGCCTCCTAAAGTTCTGGGATTAGAGGCATGAGCCACCGCGCCTGGCCTCAGGATGTCTGCTTTCTTAAACACTGCTACAATATACTTCACTTCAATATACTTCCTTGTTTTCTTATGTTTATTCTTGAAATTTGACTTCAGAATCATTTTGTCAAGTTCCCAAGACATAAGGCCAACTAATAACAACAACAACAAAAACTCATGTTGGTGGTTTTTTAAAGTAATATTAAATGTATAAATGAATACAGATTAAGTCGAATTAACCTCTTTGCTGTATTAAATATCCTGATTCTTGATCACGCTGCATCTCTACTTATTCCCATTTTCTTTTCAGTCTTTCTATGCACTTTGCTATTTTTACAGTACAAGTCTTTTGTAGTTCTTGTTTATTTTTGGATGGTCTCTATTTTTTGCTGCCAGTGTGCTGCAGATCTTCTTGCTGTGATGTTTTCTCAGTAGAGTTTGTTGGTGGATAGGTGGGTGGATGAAGGAACAGCCCTGGTTTCCTATCACTCTCCCTGCTCCCATCCGGTAGAACAGAAGGCCTGACTGGTTGGTGCTTGTGCCTCCAATCACTTAGCACAATGTTGGAGACATGAAAGTTCATGAAATAAATATTTGTGGAATTAAAGACTCATTACCAGTTATTAAATAGTATTTATTATACCTTGGGTTTTGGCTCTCCTGGACTAGGACAGGAAGGGCTGGAATCTACACCCACCCCTAATGCTGAGTGTGGCAGCCACTTGCTGTCTCTGAGCCTTAATGTCCACATTTGTAAATTATAGGACTGTTTAGTTCTTTCATGGGTGTATGAAACTTTTGAGTAATTTCGAGGATGAAAATGAAGAAGGGTTAAATATCACTGTTCATCAACCCAAAGTGTTTACTGCTCTGGGGAAGAAATAGGGTAAAGAAGTGATGTGGGTGATGCAAGAATATGGAGTGTGTGCAGTTTTACCTGGGAGAGAAGTGGTGGGTGAGAACAGTCTCCTTGCTGCCCTGTGCTTGTCATCAGTACAATTCCCCATTGAGTGTGCTTCTGTCACCTGCTTTACCTGTATAAATAGAGAGACTTTTGAGACACAATTCAAATAAAAAGCAGTCTCTTTGTCCTGAGCATTTGTTATAAAAATCATCAGTGCACAGGATTTTTTTCTTGTGGTTTGTTTTTCCCCCTGCCTTATCTCTGGATTTTCACTGGAGCCATTCTCTTCTTACAGGGACATTCATACCACCACCGGGAAGATCAAGAGAGCTGTGCTGCAGTTCACTCCTGCTAGCTGGACCTATGTTCGATGGTTTGACCCCAAATCTTCTTTTCAGAGAGTAGCCGGAGTGTACCTTTTCATGATCATCTGGCAGGTATTTTTTCCGATGCCTAGAAGTTGGGAGGAAAACAAAGACTAAAATAAAAACTTCTTAGGAATTTAGAGTTAACGTTAGTTTACATTGCTTTTCAGCGCCATACTTTACAAGATATAATATTCTGCAGCTGGCATGTAGAATAATTAAGCAAAGTGATATTATGATGCCTAAGGTCTTGCCTCATTGTGAAGACAGCTTTAAAATATGGATCTTTGAATTACAAATTAGAAACAGGTTAGATTCCATGAAATAAATTGTGTCTAGCATCCATCATCCAATGAGTTAGGCATTGGATTGCTTTTTAGAATGATCATTTTTAAGACCAAAGGAACAAATGAGAAGGCTTTTCTTACATTCCTAATTTAGTGTTTATTGGTTAAAATTGTTCCTCAGCTGTTACCACTTTGGGTAATCTGTAGGGTGCTAAATGAGTGCCAGGGAATTGGAGCATTTTGCTGAGTCCTCCAGTGTGTTGTCCTCCGTGGAGAGAAGCTGTATTTCCAAGTGGCCCACTTCACGACGGAAGTGATTCCGACAGCCCAGGGTCTTGGCAAAAGATTATGAAGCATCTGTGTTTCTGACTGACAGCAATTTTTTCTGATGCTCCTGGCCCCAGGTTGTTTCACAACTTTTGGAGAGTAGCCAAGAGAAACCAGCTTTTGCCTGAAGAGGATCTTTTAGAATCATCAGAAATCATGTTTTGGACACATAAACACAAAATACTCCCAACATAAGGAAAACATTAGCAGATGTCACTTTTAGGACAGACGATCTTCCTTGTTCACACAGAGACAATACCCATCTCAATAAGTGGAGTTTATGCATACAGAAGTGTATGTGAATAGTTAAGTAAGTAGTCACCATGGTTTGGAGAGGTCAGTACCTTTAAAAACAGGACCGTAGATGGGTTGGGATTAAGCTTTGCCTTATCAGGCCCAAAGTCATGGAAAGCAGAAGCTTTCTTTTATTAGAAGGAAGAATGATTGGATTTGTCAAGGAGGGTAGTATAGTGCTGCTAGGGTGGAACCACCTGGTGGTATGCGATGGAGCACACCTGGATCCGGGATCCAGCCAGAGAGCAGCCATGTCCCAGCCACAAGATATTTTGTGCTACTCATCATGATGAACTGCATGAAGATGCTAACCTCAGGGAAAAGGACTACTACTCCCAGCTGAAACTTGGACCAACCCTTCACACCCACTTTTAAGGACTGCCTTTGGTAGAGGATCCGCTCTGTCCCAGGCGTGTGCTGCACAAGTCCATCGTCATCTCTCAGACGTGTCTCCAGCTGCTTCTTTTGCTTTTTTTGAGATGGAGTTTCACTCTTGTCACCCAAGTTGGAGTGCAGTGGCACGATCTTGGCTCACTGCAGCCTGCAACCTCTGCCTTCTGGGTTCAAGCAATTCTCCTGTCGCAGCCTCCTGAGTAGCTGGGATTACAGGCGCCCACCACCACGCCTGGCTAATTTTTGTATCTTTAGTAGAGATGGGATTTCACCATTTTGGCCAGGCTGGTCTCAAACAACTTACCTCAGGCGATCTGCCTGCCTCGGGCTCCCAAAGTGCTGGGATTATAGGCATGAGCCACTGCGCATGGCCTCAAGCTTCTTTTGATTATTAAAGAGCTTACTTATCTACAGTGGGAATTCTCTTAGACCTGGCCTGATTTCTGTACGGCAGCATAGGTGTTCTGTGGCACAGGTTTGCTTTCATGATTTCTGTATGCTGAAAGCATTTCTCTCCTGACTATCTCAGTAGATCACACGTGTGAGCTGAGTAACAATAATACAGACGAGGAAACATGACAAATAGCTGATATCCTGTGCCCCTACGTGCCCATCCACCACCCCCACCACCTCTCCCTGGGCCTCCAATTGGTCCCTGCCCATAATGTACTGGCTGTTAACTAGTTTGAATAGCAACCCTTGGAAGACCACATCTATTCTCCGAAAATGCTTTGAACATACCAATTATTTCTAATTGTAGAATGTCTATTTAAAGAATAGAGGATTTTGAATTAGCATGAGGTACCAGGTTGACTAATTTCTCCGTCTTTTTCAGCTGACTGAGTTGAATACCTTCTTCTTGAAGCATATCTTTGTGTTCCAAGCCAGTCATCCATTAAGTTGGGGTAGAATTCTCTTTATTGGTGGCATCACGGCTCCCACAGTGAGGTAATTCTGCACAAACCCGACTGTCATATGAGAACATTAACGTGCTTTAGATTGTCCTGTTTAGCATAAGGAAAGTCACATAAACTAGCAGATTTTTCATGAAAATATCATCATAAAGAATTATACATCCAGAATATGAAGAAAATGTTTTGTTCTCAGATGTCAGTAACATTAACCAGACTTTAAAAAAGGGAAGCACTTGATCAACACCACACCAATAGTACTATCCATTACCATCAGATTCCTTTACAGTCTTGGACTGCTGATCTTTTTTCTCCTATAACATCATATTAGAAAAAAATAACAGCATAGTGATGCTGAGTTTTTTAAAAATGAGATTACTGGAAAAATGCAAACGTTTTTATGGTAGAACTGAAGTCATAAATGACATTATTTTTTGAATGAGGCTTTTAGCTTTTTCAGACCCAATTAATTTAATTTCCTTTTAAAAAGACCCTTCCTGCAGTCCTCCAGGACAACTGAGATAAGCGTGGGTGTTCCCGCCATTATCCCCTGGATTCATGTGGGGCCCTAGAGGTGAGGCTTATTCAGACACCATCCCTCAAGTAGGCTGGTCCCAGTGCGGTTCAAAGCAAGCATTTTCATTTGTTTCATTTTTCCTATTTAGAAACGGCATTTGGGTTTTATAACTAATATGGAATACTGGCATTAAAGAGTAGCAAGACCAAAAATCTGCCAAAGGTACAAATATAATCTAAGCAATTAAAAGAGTTAGCTTTTCAGAAGCTGTAAGATTGCTTATTTCGTTATTTTTAATGTGCTTGCAAACCCCACAAGCAGCGGGCCTTACTTGCCAAGGACAGTAGATCCACACCTTGGTCAAACAGACCTTCCAGCCAGCACCTCTTCTTGTTATCATTCATTATTACCAAAAAAAACAAAAAAACAAAAAAAACCCTCCAGATCCTGGATTCAACAAACCAAGTAAGACACGTCCAAGTCCTAAGGAGTTAAGCCTAACATTCCCATCTGTTCTTTTTGTTATGACCAGAATGGAAAAGAAGAGTGGGTAAGCCAGCAGCCCTTTGAAACTTCATAGATCAGTGGTCTATTGCAGTCATTATCTCATAAATCCTGTTTTTTCTTAATGGTTGAGAGTCCCCATTTAACATGTAATTTAATTTGAGACTTTACAATTTTTTCAGAAAAGATTCACTGCAGCTCTTTCATAAAATTAAGAGCAATCAATAAAGTAAGAATGGAAAGAAGTTTCTTCTTAGAACAGAATAGCAAATTACGTATGATTTATCATAAAATTTCAGTATTAAACATTCCAAAACAAAAACTAGACACTAAAAATCCAATGTTTTGAACTCTTGAGAGATCCTCAAAATTTTATAATACCCTATGGATTTCTCCACAACTCTCTTTGTTTAAAAAATCAGGCACTTCCTGTGCCCTTAACACTGTTTGAGGCAGTTCCCATGTAAGGAGGTTCTTTGACAAATTACTTGGCAAGATGGACGTGCTGCTAATGGATTTTAACATAGCCACCCCATTTAGCAAATGTTAGGTCCTAAAAGGAGAGTTTAGAGGCTTCAGTATAAATCGTACACACCACATCTCCAGCTTCTTCCTTCTTTATTAGACTTTCACACGAATCTGCTTTGAGAAGATTTTTGAGTGAACATGCTTTTAATCTGATAATATAAAGTACAATGTAAGGAAATGGGTCCAGTTAGAGGGTAAAGTAGCTAAAATGGTCAAGACATATTAAGTCATGACAATATGAAGTTAGAGGAAAAGCTACATTCTTTATAATTAGAATTCTTCACTCTGGTCTTTGGGGTGAGGAGACAGTAGTTTATGGATGAGCTTCAGGTATCTGTGAATCCCCTGAACTTTAATGCAAAGTGTTATGCCTTTGTCATAGCTTTCGTCAAATCCTCAAAGAGTCAGTGACCCCAAAAAGATGATGAGTTTCTGGTTCAGATGCTGCTGCTGCAGGGGTGGCTTGAGTTTCAGGGGTACTTCCAAGACTCCAAGCCGTGCTCTCCCACACAGAAGCCACTCCCCACCTGTGGCTGTTGAGCACAGAGATGTGGTCGGTCCACAATGAAACGTGCCGTCCGTGGAAGCTACACACCAGACTTTGAAGAGTTGGGGCCAAAACAGAATATAAAATACCTCATTATAATGTTTTAATATATTTGTTTAAATATTAGTTTAACATATTAATAAAATGGATTTTATATGTTCCTTTTTACTTTTTTTAACACGTCTACTGGAAAATTTAAAATTGCATTTATGGCTTGCATTACATTTCTACCGGATGGTGCTGTTCTGAGCCTTTCAGCACCATGTCATTGCCTGTTTTTTTCTGAACTTGTCAGTAACATTCCAAGTAATTGGCACTCAATGGCAGTGAGATATAGCTGGGGTCCCATTCCAGTTTCTGAAAGCCAAAAATCTGTATATTTTTTGCCTGGTTACAATCAGCAACCTTTGTCCTGGAGAGAACCAGAGGGGACAACCGATGGACAGTGCTGCTCACTCTCTGGAGTCACCTCCACGGAGCTAGACATGGAAACACCCACCCGGGCTTGCTTTGGGCGGGGCTGTGGAAGTCTTACCGCTGAATCCAGACTGCCTTGCCAATAATCTGGCTCTTTTTCGTTTTTTTTTTTTTTCTTTTTTTTTTTTATAAGGCTACTCGAGTGAAGCAGTGGGAGTGGAAAAGGAACAAAGAAATCTGTAAATGGTTGTGATCAGTTAGATGCAAACACCCTGGCACTCAGACCAGACAATAATCTGGCCCTTTAAATGATGCTCCCCGCTCCCTCCAGCCTAACCCAAACGCTGAATCTCTTACAGGAATGTTTCAACAGGCACTGGCTTTCTCTTCTCTTGAACAGAACTAGACCAGGCAGCCTGACATGGGACACGGAGGGATGGTTTTTACATTCACTCTGTCAAAGTGATTTAATTATGTCCTGACTTGCTGGTCTTCCAGCAGCTCTCAATGAATTCCAACTTTGTTCTTTCAGACAGTACTACGCTTACCTCACCGACACACAGTGCAAGCGCGTAGGAACACAGTGCTGGGTGTTTGGGTGAGTAATCTGTTATTGTGGAGATTTAAAAACCACTTAAGCCCTAAATTTCTTTGGGTATTTCTTGACCCTGTGTTAACAGCCTTTCAGTATAATTTTTCTGTGAAGGCAGGTGGACAAGATTTTATTTATATGTATGTGTGTATGTGTGTGTGTGTATGTGTGTATATATATATATACATACACACACACACCCCCATTATAGAGAAGAAATTACTTTTCACAGATATTTAAACAGTACATTCTCCCAATTAAAAAGTAATACATGCACAATGATAAAAATTCAGTAAAGGATCTAGAAGGAACTAAAGATCACCCAAAGAAGTCAACCATTTGGAGATAATTGTTAATATTTTAATGTCATTCCTTTCCATTTTTCTGTGTGTGTGTGTGTGTGTGTGTGTTTCCAGCTGTCATCTAGATTCTGAAGGGTGACATAGTTTTAAAGGCTAAAAATGTTGATACTCAGGTTATATTTAGGAAGGTTCCTCCTGACCCCTAGAAGACTAAGGGCCATTGTCATTTGTTTCTCATAAGTTCTGTGTGGTAAGCTTGATTTTCTTACCCAAAGTGGTTGCAGCGTAAAGGGTGATAAGATGGATTTGGTTTCCTTTGTTCATGATACAGCAGGAGGGAGGATTCACACATCTCCCAGATTTCTGACAGAGCAGAGGCAGCGCTCCTGCTTCTTGTGTGAGGGCCCTGTGTCCCGAAAGAAGGGATGCGGGCCGCTCCTTCTAAAGGATTGTCCAAGGAGGAAATGGGCTTTCCTGCATTTGAACTCTTCTCTCCCACTCACACATTCTTTCCACGTGCATTTTGCTTTCATATTTAAAAGTCCTTAGCAAGGTCTTATTATTCTGCTGTGGAGTAGATTTCTTTTTCCACAAAATTGTATCGATTTACGTGTTGAGGAAAATAGGTGGGTCAGAGAGAGAGGTTGTGTCATGACAAGTTTCTTTCTAATTGGACAACCATAAAACACCATCCACACGGAGGGAGAAATGGCAAAGGTAAACTCCACTATGGCAGCTCATGCCTGTAATCTTAGCAATCTAGGAGGCTGAGGCGGGAGGATCGCTTGAGGCCAGGAGTTTGAGACCAGCCTGGGTAACATAGCAAGACATTGTCTCCACAAAAAGTGTTTTAAGTCAGCCAGGCAGGATGGCACATGCCTGTAGTCTGCGACTCTGGAGGCTGAGGCAGAAGGATCACTTGAACCCAGGAGGTCAAGGCTGCAGTGAGCTATGATTGTGCCTCTGCACTCCCACCCGGATGACAGAGCAAGACCTTGTCTTTCTCCCTCTTTTTTTTTTTTTTTTTTAAGAAAAAAAGGAAAAAAGTAAGCCGAAGAGTGATAAACACTGCCCCAGAAAGTTGTGGCTTGTTTGAAAGTGATTAAAATATAGTGAAATGCAAAGGAGGGATCATTGGGCTAACTTAGTGTGCTTTACTGAGAATTGAGAACCCCCGGAACAGTGTGATATCAAGATTGATGAATCTTGTGAGAACCAGTGAGCTGTGCTGAAAAATAATAAAGCCCACCTCATAAATCACACCCAGTGGATCCTCCTGTGAGTGTGAACAACCGTGAGAGCTGCCGCCTGCACGGTCCACACTGCCAGCTAGGGAAGGCGAAACAGGAACCACAACCTCCTGCTCTCCTGACCCCGGAGGCCACCCACTTCCTTCCTCTGCCCCAGCTCTATCTCCCCGACGTTTTGTCATTATTTCCTCTCCTATCAAAACAGAAAACACTTAAGTGTGTGGTTTCCTTTAATCACTAGTAGCTGCTTTATAACTTTCTTTTCACTAATTTTGGAATGATCTCAGACTTTGGTAAGGTGGAGAAATGAGAGGGAGCAGTGCCCTAAATAGTGACTTTCTGAATGTTGCCTTTTGGGAGGTGGAAGGGGAAAGGCAAAGGTCAAATAGGAGTACCTGCCTGGGGTTCTTTCCCAGCACTCCAACCTTTTTCTCCTGAAGAGGGTACTTTCTCTTCTATAAACATGGTATCCTCAAAATGTTTTTATGAATTACTTGCTGTTGTAGCTAAATACATGTCATCCCTAACAGTTGTGCCATAGAGTGAGCTTTTAAACCTTTTATACGAAAGGTGTTGCACTCAGCAAAGAGAGGGCGCCATCCAGCAAGGGAATGGGATCCCTGACAGGGAGAAAGCAGCCACGTGGAAAGGTGGGCTCTTTCTCTATTTAGATGTCACATGGTATTCCTTCAGCTCAGTGGGAGTTTTGGGGCCAGACTGATGTGAACAAATTCCCCAGGTGTGGGGTTTATGTCATCTTTGTCTTTTCCCCACTCCACCCCAATTAGAATTGAGCTTCTTTGCCTCAAAAAGAGTATTGGCCCAGTTTAAATAGAAGCAGTGTTTTTTCGCCTGGTCCTAGGAGGAAGGTGGCCAAGGGTCTGCTGGAACAGCAGTGCACAGTTGGCTTTTCCTTTTCCTGGGAGTGCATGGGGTGGACCCTCACAGGAGAGTGGGCCTACCCTGCCTGAGGGCCCAGGACTGCATCCTGCCTCCCAGAGGCAGCCAGAGCTGCTCCTCACCTGACCAGTTTCCTCGCTGCCATCCCACCGCTGCTAACGTGTCCATCACAATAAGTTCCCACCTCTGCTGGTCTCCAAGGTCAGCTCCAAACCAGCCAGTCCTTTCCCCATCCTCTTCTCGGATCTTCTATACAGTATCTGCCTTCTTGAAACTGTCCTCTTCCCTCTGCAACATCTGTCCTGGATTTCCTCTCACTTTTCTCTTTTCAATCCCCTTTGTTGACTTCCCATTCTATCCCTCACTCCTCCTTACAATTTCTCATAATTGTGCTTTTGTTCTGTTGTTCTTCCAGGCCCATAGTTCGGGCTTTCTTTCTTTTTAAATTTTATTTCTTTTGAGACAGAGTCTTGCTGTGTTGTCCAGGCTGGAGGTGAGTGTCAGTGATCACAGCTCACTGCAGCCTTGACCTTCCAGGCTCAAGCAGTCCTCCCACGTCAGCCTCCCAGGTAGCTGGGACTATAGGCATGCGCCATAGTGTCCAGCTAATTATATTTTAGTTTTCGTAGAGACAGGGTTTCACCATGTTGCCCAGGCTGGTCTTGAACTCCTGGGCTCAAGCAGTCCTCCCACCTTGACCTCTCAAAGTGCTGGGATTACAGGCATGGACCACTACCCAGCCCAGACTGTCTGTCTAAAGGGTAGATGCAGCTATGAGCATGAGCTTCCTTCTAGGAAGAGGGCGCAAACACAGGGGAACAGGTGTCAGGAGGGGAGTCCCTTCCCAGCAAAAGGGCGTCACCGCCATCCTGCTGGTATAGCTTTATAGTCAGTTCCCCTTCTCCTCATGACTGTGTCTGTTCATCCTCCCTGTATCTTGCCACACCCCATCCCCTGCACTCAAGTACACGTCCACTGACATCTCAGAAGCTCTGACAGTAGTTACAAAGCTTTTTTTTTTTTTTTAGCAGCTGACCCCCTGTGTTCAAATGGCATCTTGCCCCAAATCCTACTAAGTATCTAAACGACTAAGCAGAACAGTTCTGGGTTTGCCACCCAAGACCCACTTCTCCCCTCCTTGCCCCGGGGATTCTTTGGAAGTTAGAAAGTTCAGAGGAGCACAGTAGGAATTGTTTCTATTGTTTATGCCACACTTAGCTCTTGCTTCCTCCAAAAAGCTGTCTTTGCCCCCACTAATCAGAACTAGAAGCTCACTCCTGAACTTGGAGAACGCTTCATGTCATCCTGTGTGATTGTGTGGTCATTGAGCTAACATGGATTCACGTCTCCATCCATGTTATTGGAGGCCGGCCCCTGGCTGCCAGGAGAGGGGCTCACCCACCCTCTGAGCCGTCCAGGGATTGCTTGTGCAGCCGTGGAGCAGTGCGTGTGGGATGCAGCAGCCAGGTACCCGGCCTCCATGTCCCCGGCATTGCTGTGGCATCCTCAGAATCCACGTGCAGTCTTGTTGGCAAGCCAAAAACTCCTCTTCTGCTTCTCAAGTTTGGCTCACACACACAAGCCTAGAGCTTTCATCCCCCAGATTCCTACAACAACCCTGCTAGCATGCCTGCTTCACTCAACTCACCGAAGAGCTCCTGACTCTGGGCTCTGCATTAACATCATCTTTTTTCCCACCTTGTGGAGCTGGCTCCACAAATCGGGGGTGCTGGGAGTACGTGCGCCAGTAACCAGCCCTAGGTCAGGAATCTCTAGTGCCTGCTCCCAGCAGAAGCACCTCAGGCTGCCCAAATGTTTATTTACCTTGTAACCCTGCTAAATCAAGATACAGGATGGTGGATGGCACCACAGGGAATGGAGGCCCTGACTCAATTCCATTAAGCCACAATTTGGCCACCTAGCTTATCCTGGGAAAGTTCAAAGAGATTTAAAGTTGAACTGAGTAAAGGGACCTATTGCTGAGCTGTGCGGAGGAACCCCCAGCCCCCCTGGGGGTGAGGAGGTAGGAGGAGGTAGGTGGTCTCACACTGGTGGGCTTAATACAGGCTCCCACTGTGCTCAAGCCTTGGGCCTCAGCCCTAAACTAGCCGCCCTCTGAGTCTTGGTAGAAAAGTAATGTTAGCCTTCTGGAAGGATGCTATTGATGAGGACTCCCTCTAGTGGGCCAGAGGTAATGGTGGGGGCGGTTGCTGGCGGTTACAGGAGCCCATGTGATCGTTGGGTTCCCACCACTTCTCACCATCTCCACAGCCCCAACCTGAGTCCCCGTGTCTGGATGAGCGCAGTAGCCTCCCTGCTTCTGCTCTTGTCTTCTCACACAGTTCTGTTCAGCCAGCAGAAGGTTTTTGAATATTCATCACCATGCTGTTCACAATAGCAGACATGGAACCCACCTAGGTGTGCATCAGTGGTGGACTGGATAAAGCAAATGTGGTACATAGACACCATGGAATAATAGCCATAAAAAAGAACGAGATCATGTCCTTTGTAGCAACATGGGTGCAGCTGGAGGCCATAATCCTAAGCAGGAACAAAAAACCAAATACCGCATATTCTAACTTAAAAGTGGGAGCTAAACATTGAGTACACATGGACATAAACATCAGTGTAATAGACACTGCTCACTACTAGGGAGGGAGGAAGCGAGGCATGGGTGGGAAAACTACTTGCTGGGTACTATGCTCACTACCTGGGTCCAATATACACATGTAGCATTCCTCCACATGTATCCCCGTATGTAAAATAAAAGCTGAAAATTAAAAAAAAAATATATATATATATATATATATATATATTTAAAATATATAGTAAGCAAACTGGCTAGGCATGGTGGCTCATGTCTGTAATCCCAAGCACTCTGGGAGGCCAAGGCGGGCAGATCACGAGGTCAGGAGGTTGAGACTATCGTGGCCAACATGGTGAAACCCCTTCTCTACTAAAAATACAAAAGATTAGCCAGGTGTGGTGGCACACGCCTATAGTTTCAGCTACTTGGGAGGCTGAGGCAGGAGAATGTCTTGAACCCAGGAGGCAGAGGTTGTAGTGAGCTGAGATTGCACCACTGCACTCCAGCCTGGGCGACAGAGTGAGACTCTGTCTCAAAATAAAATAAAATAAAATAAAATTACATATATATATATATGGAGAGAGAGAGAAAAAAAACCATGTTAAACCCTCTGCTCTAGACCCTCTAGGATCCCCTCAGACTAAAAGCCAAGCCTAAGGGTGGCCTTCTATGTCCATGTTATCCTGACCTCAACTCAGCCCTTTCCCCTGATTCCTGGCCCTTCCTTGTGCCTTTCCCATGCCCAGGCCTCAGTCCGGGACTCTCCACACTTATATAATCCCATAGCCGACCCCCTCACCTCCTCTTAGCCACCTTCTCATGAGACGTGCCCACACACACAGACAATGGCTTGGCTAAGAATCCTCAGCACATTGAAGCAAATCATATCCTAAAGTCACTAACTCAAAAGCACTGGTCTTCAGAAAAAACTTCAGGTTGGCCAGGCGCAGTGGCTCATACCTATAATCCTAGCACTTTGGGAAGCTGAGGTGGGTGGATCACTTGAGCTCAGGAGTTCAAGATCAATCGGGGTAACATGGCAAAACCATGTCTCTACAAAAATACAAACATTAGCTGGGCGTGGTGTCGTGAGCCTGTAATCCCAGCTACTTGGGAGGTAGAGGAATTGTTTGAACCTGGGAGGTGGAGGTTGCCATGAGTCGAGATCATGCCACAGCATTCCAGCCTAGGCAACAGAATCAGGGACAGTCTCAAAAAATTAAAAAAACAACAAAAAAAAAATTAAAAAAAACTTCAGGTCATTATGAGGCCAATGATTGGGTTCTGGCCAGTATTTTCTTAAAATGAAATAAGGATGCAAATTGTCTTATGAAGCTTTTGTTTCAGTGCATGAGTGTGTGTGTGTGTGTGTGTGTGTGTGTGTGTGCGCGCCTGTATACTGAATCACAGTGAAAATTATGTTTCTTGCCATGGTTCTTAATGGGTCTTAAATCACAAAAGTTTGAGAAACACAGCTTTAGTAGGCCAATCAGCATGCTTTTAAAAGGGGCCTCAGGCTGTCTCATGTCTATAATCCCAGCACTTTGGGAGGCTGAGATGGATGGATCATTTGAGGTGAGGAGTTCCTGACCAGCCTGGCCAACATGGTGAAACCCTGCCTCTACTAAAAATACAAAAATTAGCTGGGTGTAGTGGCACGCACCTGTAGTCCCAGCTACTCAGGAGGCTGAGGCAGTAGAATCGCTTGAACCAGGGAGGCAGAGGTTGCAGTGAGCCGAGATTGTGCCATTGCACTCCAGCCTGGGCGACAGAGCTAGACTCCATTAAAAAACAAAAAAAAAAGTAGGGACCCTCAAGTCTAGTTGAATATTCAGAAATCTTTCATAATGAACTCAGAGTGTTCTCTCTGGCTTATGGGTAGATAATCACACTTATGTCCTGGGCTCAACACTCCCAGCGTAGGAGTTTTTCAGGAAGTCCCAACCAAAGATAAAATCATCCTTTTTATGACTCCTCACTGCACAGACTGGAATACCAAACATGTAACTGCCACCTAGCCTCTTAATCACAGTCTAGACTTCAGAAGTACAGTGAAAAAACCTGGCTTCCTCCACTGAAATGATGCTTTCTCACATGTGGTACGCTTTGTGGAGCAGCGCTTTAAAGATTCAAGCCAACCACTGTTAAACCTTGTTTGGTTTGGGCTAGGGGAAAAGATAGCCCCAGACTCTCTAAAGACACATTCCGGAGACTTTCTGTTGATTTTGCTGCTTTGCTTACGTGGTTCTAACTCCAGGCATTCAGGCCTTCAGTTGTTTCGAGCCATCCGCACTGTTGATGATGGCAGTGACCACTGTGTCTGCCAGTAAGCTGGGGTGCCAAAGGCCTTCTTAGCCCTTCTTGCCACTTTTTTTTTGAGACAGAGCCTCACTCTGTTGCCCAGGCTGGAGTGCAGTGGTGCCATCTTGGCTCACCACAGCCTCTACTTCCCAGGCTCAAGTGATTCTCCTGCCTCAGCCTCCTGAATAGCTGGGACTACAGGTGTGTGCCACCATGCGTGGCTAATTTTTGTATTATTGGCAGAGATGGGGTTTTACCATCTTGGTCAGGCTGGTCTTGAACTCCTGACTTCAAGTGATCCGCCCGCCTCAGCCTCCCAAAGTGCTGGGATTACAGGTGTAAGCCACCATGCCCTGCCCCTTCTTGCCTTTTTAGAAAACATCTGTGTTAGTACACCATTCCTGGAATGTCCAGATCTTATCTTGAGCAAGGAATGCATAAAATGGACTTGTCTGAAATCACTATTCTTATGCTGCCTGGGATCTCATGGCCAACTGTGTCAACCTCACCTCATCCATTCTTACCTCCAAGTCCTGAACCTTTAGAAAAGCCCAATTTTTATAGCCATAAATGAAGATACAGAACACAAGAGTGGCTTTTTTAATGCCTTAAAGGGGAAATATGAAGTGTGTGGCATTTCCTTAAACAAAAAAATTGTATTTAGCACAATCTTTTACATATCAAGAGAAGGTAAAGGGTTTATATTGTCACCAAAAACGGGTCTATTTAATCTGGAAATTCTTAGAAGGCTAGGAAGGAATGTGATTAATGCCTTCAAATTATTGAAAGACTCCCTTGGAAGGGTCAAACTCACCCTGTGTGGCAGCCAGCTAGCCTCTTAATCACAGTCTAGACTTCAGAAGTACAGTAAAAAAGCCTTCAGGGTTCCTCCACTGAAATGATGCTTTCTCACCTGTGACATGCTAGGGCAATGTCAGGACCCAGGGTAGGAGGTATAGGAGGCAGATACCAGCCTGAGACAGAGAAAAACTTTCTAACTGCTAAAGAGTTTGACCAGAAAAATAAGCCACCTTGCAAAGGTAGTAGGTTCCCTGTGCCTGAGAAGGTTCCAGCAGAGGCGGCGTGATCACCCACCCTTATAGCAATGGAGGGACTGAGTTAGGTGATGCCAGCGCCCTAGCTATTAAAATTTATGAGTCATGATTTTGGTCTGGGAAGAAGGCAGAGGTGAAAAATTCTTTATTATTTCCGAAGTAAATGCCGTTGGCTTGAACAGTGTTATTTTGTGGGGTACCTGCTACCAGTGTTTGGGGCAGAAATCATGTGATGAGTTGAACTTTTTGATTCAATCATGCATATTTTGGATAATGTGTATCCTCTGGTAAGACGGATTAATACTTACCCTCTGTTCTCTGTCTGATTAGGGTCATTGGTTTCCTGGAGGCCATTGTCTGCATAAAATTTGGACAAGATCTCTTCTCTAAGACCCAAATACTCTATGTTGTGCTTTGGCTTCTTTGCGTGGTAAGTCATTACATTTTACCCAAAGGCATTAGCTAAACTCTCATAGTATTGCTTTAAACAGAGGGGGAAGAAATTGTGTGTCAAAGTTCCTTAGAATTTCATAAAAAGATGTTCTGTTGTAATTGTCTGAGACTGGCCACCAGCCTAATTTCAAGAATAAGACACACCTACACAGTATCTGAAACAAGTCCCCTGAGCAGGTTACAGTCCAGTGCCCTCGTCAGGTATACCCCACGTGCATTTACTTCACTCATGGGAATCTGTCTACACGGGCTACACATTTAGGGACTGCCATGAAGGGACAAGGAAGATCACAGTGCACTTTGCTTTCTCATCATCATGCCGTATACATCTTAACATACATATCATTGCACATGGATTTATATATAAAAGGACATATGGTGATTCACAGGCAATAAAATATGTTTTGGAAGATAATTCGATCCTGCAATTTCTGCCTTCCAGGCCCATGTTATAACCCAAGTCTGGATATAACCTTCTACTCTGAAGGGAAGAGCCTGGAGGGACACCGGCCTAAGCCTTGGTTCTTTTGCCCTGGGGCTCTTCCCTCACCTTTCAAATGAAGTAAGATAGCACCCAGTTACACATTTTGTGACTGCCATTCTTTATTTAAATATTTGAAGTTATTATTTTGAAGAAAAGTTCTTATTTTATATTTAAGCTTAAGATTTTTCACTTAGTCTAGAAAATGTATTGGGCTTTCTAAATAATCATAGAACATTTCAGCCATGTGCAAGTAGAGAGAATAGATGGCCCCTCATGAACCCATCATCGGTTATTAACTCAGGGCCAATTGTGTTTCCTCTTATGTTGTACTCACGGCCCCAACCCCTAACTTATTTTGGAACGGATCCACCTTTAATATTTCAGGATGGATCACTAAAAGAAGCTCAGGATGCTTTTTAGGTTTAATGCAACCACCCTACCATTATCATATCTGAAAAAGAATTAAGAGTAATTACTTAATATCATCAAGTACCTAATCAGTGTTCAAATTACTAACTTTTTCTTAAAGCTTGTATTTGCTTAACAATGTATTTGAATCCACATTCACCCATCGTGATTGGTTGGCATGCCTTTTAAGTCTCTTAATCCATAGGTTTTCCTTCTATCGCTAACCCTCTTTCCCTCGTAATTTATCAGTTGAAGAAAGCAGCTCTTTTGTCCTATAGATTTTCCCACAGTCTGGATTTTACTTATTTTTATCCTATCTTATAATTTAACATATGTCTTTGTCCTCTGTATTTTCTGTAAGTCGGTAATTGGATCTGCAGGCTTAATCACATTTGGGTCTAATTTTTTCTTTTCTTTTCTCTTTTTTGGCAAGACTAACCTTTGTATTTTTAATGTGTCTTTTATCGCCTTTAACAGAATCTATTTTTAGGGTTACTTGTTAGAAATCCTAACTGTGCCAAGGCACAGTGAGCCTGTTCTGTCCTGTTTCATCTTGAACAATACAGGGGAATAATGATCTCCTTTGTATTTAAACTACAGAATTAATGCCCAAGTATATTTTTCCATGTCGGTGAGACTAAATGTAAGGAATCGGTTAGGGAAATGTGTCAGAAGTGCCCAGAGATTTTCACCATGCTTCTCTCGGATATATCTCTGACCTGTGCACCTCAAGTCTGAATTGTAATAGGACCTAACTGCAGGGGGCAGAGGTGGGTGCCCTCTTCACTGGGTACCAGAGAACCACCTGCCCACAGGGAGGGTGAGATAGGCAGTACTCCCAAGACAAGACAGACAACCCTCCTCACCACAGCAAATCACAGGCCTCCCAGCTGCCTCCTTACCACTGGCCCCCAGGCAGCAGTGACCAGAAAGGTCTTCTCAGGCCACCTACCCAGGCAGTCCTCTCTGGTCCCTGTCTTAGTGCATTTTCTGTTGCTACAACAGAATACCATGGACTTGGTAGTTTACAGAGAAATTAAATCACAGTACTTTATTTGGCTCACGGTTCTAACAGCTGGGAAGTCCAAGAGCATGGTACCAGTATCTGGCAAGCGTCATCCCATGATGGAAGGGAGGAAGGTGGAAGTGAGCATGTAAGACAGCAGGAGGTGGGTCGGACTCACCCTTCTTATCAGGAACCCACTCTCACAATCACTAACATACTCCTGTGATAACAATCCCACTCCTGCAATAATAGCATCAATCCATTTATGGGGTGCACTCCTCATGACCTAATCATGTTTTAAAGGCCCCACCTCCCAATATTATTACATTGACAGCTAAGTTTCAACATGAGTTTTGGCAGGGACATTCGAGCCATAGCATTCCACCCCTCACCCCTGCTTCTCACATACAAAATACATTCATTTCATGCTAGTAGTCCCAAAAGTCTTAACTTGGCCCAGCATCAACTCCAAAGTTCAGAGTCTCATCTAAATCAGATATGAGTGACAGTCAAGGCACAATTCATCCTAAGGTGAATTAATCCCACATGGACACCACCACAGTTTCTGGCCTATACCCTCCAGAGTGGTAGCCCAAGCCACACCAAGGTCCACTTGAGCCACAGCCAAGAAAAACTATGCCAGCCGTGAGTGTGTGAAATCAAACAGGTCATCTACTTCCACAATACAATAGTGGGACAGGCATAGGATAGACATTGCAAATCCAAAAGGGAGAAACAGGCAAGAAGAAAGGGATAAGCAGTCCCAAGTAAGTCCAGAACCCAACAGGGAAACATTACATCTTAAAGCTGGAGAACAATCTCCTTTGACTCCATGTTCTGCATCCTGGCCTGGGGCAGGAGTTGGGCCCCCAGGCCCAGCAGCTCCACCCCTGTGGCTGTGCCGGGTTCGGCCAGTGCTTCAGTTCTTCCAGGCAGGAGTTGCACACTGGCGACGCTACAGTTCTGTGGTGTTGGGGATGACCCTGCTGCCACTGCTCCTCTCTGGTGGCTCCAACCGCACATTTCTCCTTGGCATTGTCCTAGTAGTGACTTTCTGCAGTGGCACTGCCCCTGTGGCGGGTTTTTGCCTAGTCTTCAGGTAGTTCGCCGCATCCTTTGAAATCTTAGGTGGAGGAAGCCATGTCCTCCACAGCTCTTGGATTTTGCATATCTGCAGAATTAACACCACATGGACACCACCACGGTTTATAGCTTATCCCTCCCAGAGTGGTAGCCCAAGCCACACCAAGGCCCACTTGAGCCACAGCTAAGGCAGCCAAGGGGCGCCCTGCTAGAATGTGGGAATAGAGTCCCTAGGTAGCCCTGGTCAGTGAGCCCATGGAGGGCTCCCCAGGTCTGTAACCAAAAACCATTCTGCCCTCTTAGAGCTCTGGGTCTGTGATGGGAGGAGCAGGCTTGAAGATCTCTGAAATGCTTTTGCTTTCAGGGGTCTTCCTCCCATTTTCTTGATGAATAGCACCTGGTTTCTTTCTTTCCGTGGTAATCTCTTTAAGAGTCACGTGGCCTTACCCTTAGTGTTTGGAATATGCTTTTTCACTCTTTACATGGCCAGGCTTTGAATATTCCAGATTATTCCATTCTGCTTCCCTTTTAATTATAAATTATCTTTAAGTCATTTATTTCCTCTCGAATTTCATTGTATGCAGCCAGAAGTAGCCACACAGTAGCCTGAATGCTTTGCTGCTTGGCTGTCTTCCACCGGGTATCCTAGTTCATTGCTCTTAGGTTGCACATTCCAGAAAGCCTTCAGGCATGGACACAATTCAGCCACGGTCTTTGCTACTATATGACAAGGATGCCCTTTACTCCACTTTCCAATCCTTGCTCCTCATTTCCATTTGAAACCTCATCAGAATGGCCTTGACTGTTCATATTGCTACCAGCATTCTGGTCATGAACACTTAAGTAATCTCTAAGAAGACTGAGGCTTTCCTTCTTTTCTTCTGAGCCATCACCAGGATCGTCCATAATGCTCCCTTTACAGCAATACAGGCTTTTTCTAGCCTGTGCCTCCAAATTCGTTTAGCCTCTACCCATTAGCCAGTTCAAAAACTGCTGCCACATTTTCAGATATTTGTTATAGTAACCACCCCACTTTTTGGTACCAATATTCTGTCTTAGTCCATTTTCTGTTGCTTTAACAGAATACTGTAGACTAGGTAATTTCTAAAGAAACAAAGTTTATTCCACTCCCAGTTTTGGAGGTTGGGAAGTCCAAAAGCATGGCACTGGCATCCAGTGAGGTCATCCCATGGTGGAAGGGCAGAAGGCAGAAACAAGTGTACCAGACAGAGAGGGAAGTGCCAAACTTATGCTTTTTATCAGGAACCCACTCCCAAGGTAACAGCCTGAATCCATTCATGAGGGCTTTGCCCTCATGACCTATCACCTCTTAAAGGCCCCACCTCCTAATGCTGTTAAGTTGGCAGTTGAGTTTCAAGGAGAGTTTTGGCAAGGACATTCAAACCATAGCAGTCACCCAGACTGTAGGGACCCCTCTAATTTCTCTTTAAGTTTTAGAGACTTTCGGTTACTTATTTGACACTTAGAATATACCTCCTTACATGGGTTAGCCTTTGTGTCTGTGTGATTGTAACTTATTGAGGACATGCACCATTTCTTATGCTCCCATTGACCTCTGCTTCACTTGGTGCAGACCTCTTAGTCCGGGCTTCATTCACAGACAGTTGCTGAGTGCTCCTCCGTGCTGTGCCTGGGGCTCTAGCCACACAGATAGATGACGATGATAAGATTTACTGATGCCTACTATATGCCAGAGACTATTCTAAGCACTTTCATGAATTCCACATTTGATCTTCACACTTTGAGGGAAGGTATTTTCTTATCCCTCTTCTATAGATGAGGAAACGAAGGCACAAAGAAGCTCACTAACTTGCCCATGGTCACATAGGTAGTTAAGTGGCAGAACCAGGACTCAAACCCAGACATTCTCTGTAGGGAACTGCTCTTCATCACTGCCCTCCAAGGATCTGTGAGTTCAGATGGCAATTAGACATGCAAATTAATTATGTTAATATGTGATAAATACTATAAAAGA